GGGGGGGGGGCGTTCAAATCAAAAGTTTGAGGGAGGAGGAGTGCAAATCGAAAATTTGAGGGGGGGGGGGGGGGGGGTGGGTGCGAAATTAAAAATTGAAAGGTTGATTCCGAGGGGTGCGCCAAATTGAAAGTTTGTCCCCGGCGCCGGGAAGGGTCGCTACGCCTCTGCTGAAAGATTCAGATCGATCAAACATCGTGACGTCATTGATTTTCGACCACAAATGATAAAGTCAAGGATGAAGATTGTGCATAGATAAAAGAACATAGGCTAGGGTGAGACTTCAGTTTTGGTTAGCCATACCAGTGTTTCATTCATACTTTGTTTTTTTTTTTATCCGGGAGGGCACTTGAAAATTTTAAAACGTGGGGGGGGGGGGCACTGCTAAATGTATATACTTTCTATGCGAATTCTATTTTGTCCGGGGTGGGGGTAGGGGGAGTAGACGTGCCGCCCCCATACCAGAAAAAGATGTCTGAAAGAAACTCTGCCGTACTAGCTAATCCAACAGAATAAAACACACCCTGACGACGCTTGTAATAAGTGCCTTCTTTAATGGTATATAAATCTTTCAATCTTGTCTTTTTGTTTAGTTACAAGTTCTCATTCATGTACCGAGATAACTCTAGAAATCCCACCAAGAGTTTATCAAAGGCTGATTTTAAATTAGCATACTATTTAATTACAAGTCAGGCATAGACGACGTGTTACCCCCTTAGGTTAAGATAACTAACACAGGGTATATGCATAAATTACTGGGAAGAAACTTGAGCATTATTGTTAAATAGCCAGCAAATAATAGCCAGGAAATACAGAAGGATTAGATTTAGAACAAGTTCGTGTATGTTTGACAGTTAGGATCTGGTTTGGGATTTACGTTACGACTAGGTCTATGGTTAAAGTATTGATATTAGAACAAAAAAAAATCAATTAAGCTTTGATACACAGTAATCTTTTGACCCGTTCTGTCATTTATAATGGTGTATTGCCCCGTGCATTGGTATTGAATAACCAACGAAATAACTTGAGATCGACTTCATTGAAGAGGATAATATCGGGTGTAGGTCAAAAGATCGACGTCGAAAAGGACGACTGGGCGTAAGGCCGACAGGTGATAAGGCCGGCATAGACATATGTTTTTTTATATATATATATATATATATATATATATATATATATGCGAAAAAAACCTGAAAAGAACACCTTTTTTTTACTTTGTGGCTACATTTCTGTTTACTTTGGAACACCCGACCACAACGCATTCATTATTGTTTGTGTCGCCTGTAGGGTTGATGTAATTTACGTTTAATCAATGCCAATTTACAACAATACTGCACACGTTACTTTGTTAATAAATACATTTTTGTTAAAATACATTTAAAATCACGGTCAAAAGGGCGAGAAGAAAAATTATATTCGATGCGATTGGATGTATAGAAATTGATGTCAATGTTAGATAAAATTGAGTTACCGGGTTTGCCACAAACCCACAAACAAACAGACTTTGTGAACTAAATAAGAGACTATATTGAAACAAATACAAAAACATTTATAACAACTAGCTTTAAAACAAAATTGCTTTCTTTAATAAAAAAAAAACTTTGGGCGCTCATGAAATCTCCTACATATTTTAACGACCAAAGCTTTTTTTTTTTTTTTTTAAAGCGCGCTTTTTAAAATTTTCTTACTTTTAGTGCATTCGAAAGCTTGTTATTATAAACAGTTTTATAGTTTGTTTTATTTTCCACTTTTAGCCATGCGTTCGAAATTAATTTAACACTACATAGGCTACGAATAAAAATATTCTCCTCTAAAACACGAACAGTAACTTGTGATCTGGAAAAGAGAGTTATCTGCCCCAGCATGTTCGTGGGCAGTGTTCAGGCGAGAAATCAGCCTAGCGTGGCATGTTCAGCGGTTAGCTGATCGAATAAGCGTTTTGAGCTTTGTTAGAAGTGAGTCAAAGTTGTTACAAGACGTGTCACAAAACCCACAGACGTTGTCAACTAAGCAAAAGCTTGTAAAAATACGGAAATCCTCTTCGGGTGTCAACAAGTAGGCCTATATTGTTAAAGCTTCAGCGAGTGAGCTTTGGTAACAAATGTAGGCTTTAGCTGCAGGTGTTTAACTTGATCGGCGGTAAAAATTGAGTTCAGTGAAACGTGACGTATTCATTTGTTATTGAAGCTTAAGGCATACTTTTAAATCCTATTCTAAGGCTGCGTGCGAATGTTCTTGAGTGCACCCATGCTTTTTTATATACACGTACAGGCTTATATTTCAGCCGCAGGATAAATCTGACGATATATATATATATATATATGCCTATATATATATATGGAGTGGTGCACTGGTTGACACCAACATTTAGTGATACTGCTTTTATATATATATATATATATATATATATATATATATATATATATATATATATATATATATATATATATATATATATATATATATATATAATAACATTTCTATATCCGGATTGCATTGGAAGTACCATTTCCCTTAGGGATATCTAAGAATATACGAGAACATTTATTGGAGATCACTTCCGATTTAAGATTAATTTTTCTCGTTGTTGTAGTCATTGATGTTGATGAATTAATTGATGTCTTATTGTTGTTTTTTTTTTTTACTTTCTCGTATACGAAGTATAGGGGAAGTAATGTAGTCGTGCAAAAAATATCGAAATCGAAATTTTTGCAAATCTTGACGTTTTATACCTCGCTGACTCGGAAAACATAGCGTTGCAATTCTGTCCGTATGTTTGTGTGTACGTGTGTGTATTCCTGTGGATACGATAACTTAAATACCGTTACAGGTGGGTTGATGAGATTTCATATATAAGTAGTTATCAAATTTGTAGGTTATTTTTTTCAGCTTTTCAGCGATTTCCGGTAGCCGAAAGTGGAACTTATTCTACTTTTAGTTTTTCAAAAGCCTATAACCTGAGGACTGTTTTAGTTGGATAAACGAAATTTCACACCTATGATAAAAGCACTTATGATCAAAGCACCTATGGTAAAAGCGTCTAAAACCATTTCAACATACACCCACTAAAAACAATTAAAATATCCTAATGATGGATTATAAACTCAGCTGTCCCCCCCCCCCCCATTATTTCGGCCCTGTACTCAATCATTCAGTAGCTCCACATTGCCATCTGTGTAACAGTGTCCCTGTTCTTGCCATAACTAGTCTCTGTCCCATAGTCTACGTAACAGGCAAACGTCGTTTGTTTTTGTCGCTTGTCAGGCCATGTTTATAATGTATGAGGCATTGATTTATTCACACACGCAGGGTCATAACGTGCTTGGCCAGCCTAGGATGGCGCCTAAGAATTTAAACGTCATTATTGTTCAAGATGAAGTAAACAATTAAAAACTACATTAATTTACCTTTAATTTGATACCCGATTTTAATTATCAAAATTTATCGGTAACCTAGAAAATGATTTGTGAAAAAAACAAATTCGTTTGTTTTTAAATGGCTACGATGACTGATACTGTGGGTTAGCTTTTGTTTAGGAGTGTTGTTGTGACGTGATTGACCGTTCAGAAGAAATGTGTCGTCTGCTAGATTTCTTACCTTTCAAATACACGGCGGGCAAAATAGGCGAGCTTATTTGGCTGTTGTCTCGATCAAGTTTTTTCATGAAGGTTTTTTTTTTACCCTGCATTGTTTTTTTTTTTTCTAAATTAATAAAATTAGAATTCTTAACAAATAAATTTCTATTAATCTGCACACGTTTGAGTGTTTTTTACAATAATATTAAATACAATAATCAACATTTTGCTTATCTTATATATGTATATTGTTGAATAATACGCAAAAATAACGATTATAAGTAAATGTTTCTGAAATGACCATGAAACATTCTTAAAAAACGGAATCATGGTATTTTTGTTTTCAGCGGCCATCATTACCGTGACGATGGTAAAAAAAAAAAGTAGGTCAAGTTACAGGCTAATTACCTTGTTGCTTTTCACCCTTAGTATTCAGTACCTTAGTATTCAGTACTTTAGTATTCAGTACTTTAGTATTCAGTACTTTAGTATTAAGTACCTTAGTATTAAGTACTTTAGTATTAAGTACCTTAGTATTAAGTACCTTAGTATTAAGTACCTTAGTATTAAGTACTTTAGTATTAAGTACAGTTTGATTCTAGCGAGTGCAGTTTTACTAGCACTAAATCATTTTTGTCAAAACTTATTACGCTTAGTACCCTCTTAACCTAGATTACTAGGTCCCCTTCCTCCTTAATTTATATTAAGTTTTTTTTTTCTTTACCGTCTTTAACTTTGCTAATGTATTTAATTAATTAATCTAACTTTAAAAAAAAGCAGACTAACTCATTAAAAGTTGCTACATCCCCTTGGATGGTGTCGATTGGTGCGGCCTCAAAACTAAATAAAGTTTCTGGTTACTCTATTTTAATTCTTTTTATTTGTATTTTAATTCGTGTTTTTTTTCAGCTTTATCTCCCTTTATATGGGCTTATGTTTCCTGTTTTCTAAACCTGGTTGTCTTGCGTTAATTAATCTCTAATTTATTTATTTGTTTACCTTTTTGTGAATGGTGTAGGGTTTTATGAATTATTCACTTTTAAGCCATTTTGGTTTACAATTCAATTTATTTTAAATAACCGGTGTAATAATTATTGTACAATTACACTCTAAAAAGCCGAAATTAAAATATGTTCCATTTATAGACTTTTAATATAATATCAATACTTAATAAATTTCCATTCATTTGACGTTATATTGCTGCTGTAAAGCAATATAAATCCATTTTTATAATAATAAAACCCGAGTGGGAGAATGTTGTTGTAATATTACCGTACGTGTTGAAACATTACCGTATGTAAATCTGCGGACGGCTGGTTATAGTCCTTCATAACGAGGCCACGTTTTACCTTACGGTTTTTGATAGACTGGTGGCGTTCGGTGCTTAGTGCTCCTACCTCAATCGCACTTCGTTGACCGTGTTGATCAAAAGTGGTTATTCAAAAGGGCTTTTGTTGGTTATTTTCAATATTAAAAACAGCATTTTTTAAAAAACCTATGCTGTTCTTATTTGGAACTACGGTAACTTAACGATTTCTTTTATAATCGTATACATATTCAAAGTTTGAACACTATATTGATTTTATTCACTATATTGCAGTTTTTTTTGTTCCTCAGCTATATGAAGCTAGAAATTTAAACTTTAAATGAGAGTCTAGAGCCTAATAGGTCCCAACGAGTGTGACGAAGTGCTTTTCATCATTATTGTTGACGTGGAAAAAAATCACTTTTTGTCAATTTTGCATTCATAGTAGTATTAAAAAAAACTTAAATTAAGCATGAAAATTTTCCGAAATTTAAAATTTGAAGAATCAATGATATAAAAGTTGCAAATGTATATAATTTTTTTTTGCATTAAATGCTACATTTCTAACTATTTTCTTAGCCTAAATAGTAGATTTTGCTTTATTAAGGTAAAAATTGATTAGTTGTTTAGGAACACCGTGATCAATTTTATGAAAACCCCACTTTGTCGTAATATTTTACACTCATAACTTTTTAATAAAACTACACTTTAAAAAAACAAACAGTTAACCTGGCAAGGCCATGTTTATTTACATTTTGGCTTTTAAAAAATTTGATAAGTTACCGAAAATACCTAAAACGTCCATACATTCATTCTCTCAATATAGTTAAGTCCTACAAAAAAAAACGCACAGTAAAGTTATAGCCGCATTTAACTTAGAAAACCTCACACAATTTTAAAATAATCAATGGACTATTCGATAATATTCCCGGTGGGGTAAGTTTAGTAGTGAACACAGAAATTATTTTTAAGAAGAAGGGAAAAAATCAAATTAAAAGTTTTTAAAAATTTATTTATATATATATTTTTTACAAATTTACTATTTGCATTAACATAATGCCTCATAAAATTGAGCTACTCCGTTAGAATACTTTTATTTAAGAAGTTTCTTGTTTCTTGATATTGAATAGCTAGTTATAAACCAACACAGATTTGAAAAGTAAACAAAAGTTAGACCTAACAGTACATGGGGTCACTGTTTCTGTGAATTAATAGTGTGGCCAGTACTATCCCCTGCCGCCTCTACTTTCCCGGATTTGAACTCGTATGCCCTACCATTCAACCACGACGTCCCATAAATATTGTACTGCTGTGACCGTAATGATAGATACATCCAATTTTTATAACTGCGTTTTGTATGTCAATATGTATGTCAATATAGATAAAGCTGTTATACAAATTGGACTCATCGATCATGTATGTCAATAAAGATAACAAATGTTATAGTGTGGTCCGCGATACGCCGTGCGGCATTTGCATTCCCAAACGTGTGTTAGGTAACCCCCTGAGCTGGGTGGACTCAAGGAGGTCTCATTTATTCGAGCACAGGATCCGAACTCGAGTCCTTCGGGTTTTCGCTCGCGCGCTCTGCCATCAATATTGTATTACTTTGACGGTAATGATGGGTATATACTATTTTGTTACTGTGTTCTGAATGTCAGTTTAGATAATAATGTGATAGACATTTCTATATTGTACTAACACAAGTATATATATATATATATATATATATATATATATATATATATATATATATATATATCTGCGTGTGTGTATCTGTGTGTGTATATGTGTGTGAACGCATGTTATGTTTACATTTAGGGGTATAGTGTAAATATAATCTCCACAATGCGAGAAAACGATTTTTTTTTCTCCTCACAAACATCTGTTTTGTATCTATCCTTCAGAAACGGACAAATAAATGTGATTTTTGTGTAGGTGTGTGGGTGTGTGAGTGGAGTGAGTGTGAGTGTGTGTGCGTGTGCGTGTGTGTTTGTGTGTGTGTGCGTCTCAACATGAGACGGGCAAACATTTTTCGCTAGAATATAACTGCCGCGTCTCTATTGTTCAAACCATCACGGATTTGCGAGACAACTATTTTAATGTTGCCCATGGGGGCGTTTGGCTTTTTTATGTATCAAATATGGTGTAGTTACGGCGCCTGGCTATAAGTTATGGTTATTGTTAAACTAATGTTCAATTTAGCATTTTAAGTACGTGAGATTATACCAAAATAATCCTTGGTTTTTTTTTTTTTTCTGAATTCTTTAGACGAATAAGAAAACAAAACGAACGGGGTAATGTATACTGAGTACAACGTTTGAAAGAGATATTAGAAAAAATATTGTATGTTGTTGGCTACCATGCCCTAGCGTTTAAAGTAACTCTGGTACTAAGACATTCACCCAACCGTTATAGCAATACAGGCAGAATACTATTAATAATATAGCCATTGCGGCTTTCTTTATAACAATATGTGCACCGCCGAACAATATTTTCAAAAAATGAGCCTACCACAATGAAAATAAATTCAGTTGCACGTATTGTGTTGGGACTCCACATAATTATTCCATAAAAAATGTAATCGCTCTGCATTGTTCCGTTTGTTGGCATAACAAGCTTTGTCCCATGGTCTCCGTATCTCCCACACGCCGTGTGTCGATAGTGAGGCTAGTTTGCCGGTCAATCAATACTGCAAATAGGACGGTCATAAGACGTTAAAATTAGCGGTTTTTTTTACACAATTATCGATTGTCTGTTATAATCAACAAAGTTTCTTAATCTTTTAATCAATGCGGGACACTTTTTTTATGTTTCTTCTGCGTAGTAAAAAATAAATTTATATATATATATATATATATATATATATATATATATATATATATATATATATATATATATATATATATATATATATATATATATATATATATATATATGAAACATAGCAACAAAAGAATTTAAAACACAGAAAACGGTCTCGGCCCTCGACAAAGTAATTGTCTTTCTTGATGGCCTTGTTTGTAAGTACTTTGAGGTAACCGGAGTTGTATTTGTGTTATTAATGCTGTTGAAAAATTCATTACCTAACTATTGAAATTACGGATACAATAAATGGGTGGTAGAGCTTACGAGTGCTAACCCGAAAGTCTCGAGTTTGAATCCCGGGCTCGAGTCTGTAGAACATCCTTGAGTTCACCAATTTTTTATTTGTACCAGAATCACTTTACAAAGGTGGTTCGGTATAGTACTGACCACACATTCGAAATAACTGTGTATAAAAACATAATCTCTCCTTTGTCTGCCCCATGTGTCGTGGGCACAATGAGATAGAACGACGAGATATGAGTATGTACTACGTAGAGCTGTAGCATAGATAGGATGTTGTAATAAAACATATCCACAGATTCTTGTGTTTTGAAATGAAGCACTATCAATCGTGTGGGTCAACATTTAGTCTAAATTCTCCTGAACTAATTAGTCGACGCGCGCTGAACTGCTAGCCCGCGTTCGGATCTGGTTCCGGAGTCGGACTGCGGGATGCAGAAGCGTAGCGACCCTTCCCGGCGCCCGGGGACAAACTTTGCGATTTGTACCCCCCTCCCCCCTCAAGATTTCGATGTGCACCCCCCCACCCTTCAATCTTGTGATTTGCACCCCCCTCAACCTTTCAATTTATTTTTCCAACCCATTTTGGCGCCCCCTAAGGTCGGCACCCGGGGACATATGTCCCCCCCCCCGTCCCCCCCCCCCCCTCGCTACGCTACTGGCAGGATGTCCTTGTCCACTCAGCTTTGATTAATTCCTTGCCTACGTTATGGAAAGAAAAGACTGCTGGACATAGTGCTGACCACCTTTTCCCTTCATATGCTGAGGTCAATGAAACAGGTGAACACTACAGGATTAACTTCTTGTGGTTTGACATACTTAGAAGGATTATTGCTGAAGGTGGATTAAAATTGTAACAGCTGCGTCACTGTTGGCGAACGAATTAGAAACAGTCCGCTAGTCTCAGCAGGCACGAGCAAGGTGGATTTAACTTTCTCGTGTAGGAGTGTTGAGGAAAGGTGGTAATCGTGCAAAAAATAAAATCGAAGTTGAGCTTTCGACTCTCTCGACGTTTTACCCATTCCTGAGTTGAAGAAAAAAAATTAGCAAAAAGGTGGGTGTATGTGTGTGTGAGAGAGAGAGAGGGAGTGTGTGTATGTGTGTGTGCGTATGTGGATGTGGACACTATAACGACATAGATTATATAAGTATTTGGCCATATACGTAGGTTTCTTTCAACTTTCGAGCGATTTCCGGTAACCGGAAATGTTTTTACTCTATTTCCGTTTTTCTAAAACCATCAGAATTTGATATTTTATATCGTATTTTCAAAAAACAACATATTTTAAGAACCTCCCGCATGCCTGTGTTTTCTATAATAACGAGTGGTTTTGTCACAAATTACCAACCATTTCTATAACCTGGTTCCACTAGATGGGGTACCCCGCCCCTTACTGCTATATAGGAATAAATAATTCAAGACATCTCTCTAACACTTTATTTAAAATCCATTGTTTTGTTAGACACATTAAAAATATACTACAGGGCTAACGACACGCTCTGCATTAACTAGTCAAGAGTTATTAGACAGGTATTGTTTCCGGAATTGTCAGTTGTAAAAATGGAAGGGTTATGTGTTCGGACTCCTATTGCAAGGCGTCAGATGACGCGGTATCCTAGGACGCAGCCTCGCTTTACTCTGCTTTCGTCTGCATACAATTTTTATCTTAATAACTTTTTTATTATTGCTTCTGCCAGTTCCCTGGGGAGCATGACGGCATGACTACCCTTTCTGCGAGGTAACGAAAGGGGTCATAGCTGAGTAATCACCACTAATACTGCTTTGTTTGCATGCACACTACGACAAACTTAGCTCCGCGATGACCGCTTTTATTTAAATAGCGTTTATTTGTCACCTAATCACTAAGGCGTGACCGACGCATAACAATGTTAGTTGTATTGTCCATGGAGGGCGGTTGTTTTTCCCTTAAGGCATTTCTCTGCCATCAAAGCGGGCGGCAACCTTGATGCAAAGGTGCGTCTTTATCGTTATTTCATTCTCTTTGATCTAGTTTCGTCCACCTGACATGGTAGGATTGTCTCATGTTTGTCAAGCCCACCTACGGTGTCTATCGAAACATTTTTTTTTAAATCTTCGCATACTATATTAGTAATTTAATTTTAAAATGTTTAGTGCAATATGACAAATTTATACGGCAACTATTTCTTACAATAAACAATATTTAACATAGTAAACAAAACCATATGACAATCAACACAAAAAATATCCAGATCAACTAAAATCATCCAATACACTATTACAATTTTGCTGTGAGATATTTTGTCTGAGATCAATTGTCCTTGGTATCATTGGTCCTGATATATTTTATTATGGTATCTTTTCTCCGTGAGATCATTTGTCCTGAGATCATTTGTCCTGATGTATTTCGTCCTGGTATCTTTTGTCTGAGGTCATTTGTCCTGAGATCATTTGTCCTGAGATCATTTGTCCTGTCACCCAGAAAACAGCTACTGAAACTGCTGCAGCTGGAGGTTTTTGATGATATCGCATGCAAATAACGCGGGGAACTCGGTGGTTGCTTTATCCATGAAGATTTAGCACTACTGAAAGTGCGTCAAGTTGTTGGCCTGTACTTGTTCCAAAAAAATGAGAAGTTTGGATCTGAAGGCCTTTAGGTGGCTGTATGGATCAGAAAGTAGATTTCCCTCTCTTGTAGCTTTAGGTTCAGAAAATTAAAATGACCAATTATGTCTTCAGCAAAGGCCAATTTTTTATACCCACTTTTTATCAGACTTTAATGGCTGTGGCTTGTCTTTACTTTCCATGAAGTAACTTATTTCCTTTCTTAACGTAAATACTCTGCTCAGAGTTTTCTCACAAATTAGCCATCTTGCTGCTGTGTAATATGATAAATCTTGTGATTCCGTGTTGTTTTTTTACATGTCTCTGAACTTTCTGTGATTGAGCCCATGTGATAGTATGAAATTCACTACCTTCACCACATGATTCAGTACACTGTTAATGTCCAAATTTTGCTGGTGAATAATACAGTGCAGGAAAATTGGTTGTAGAATGTTTTTCTCGTTCGCTTGTCCAACCAAACCTTTCTTTATGCCACTCTTGTACTTTCCTCTATCAACTGTCTGGCAACTGAGGTTAGTCCAGTCCAAGTTACAATCAGCAAATGTTTTCTTTAACTCATTGAATATATCCTATCCGGCAACAGTGTCATACATGTTATGTAGGGAAGCCAGCTCTTGTGTTATGTTCATGTCTACATCCATACCTCTAATGAACACAAGCAGTTGAGAGGTGGAACAGCTGTCCAGGGACTCATCCATTTTAGCCACGATGTTTTCACCAATGTCTGCAACATGGCGGGCAATGGTATTTGCACCCAAAGCTATATTTTGAAATTGTTTTCATTTTTCTGGGCAAACCATCTCCAACAAACATTTTTTTCTGTGGACAAAAAGAGAGGGCGTCGCGGGCTGTATTCGGCCCACGGACCGTAGTTTGGAGACCCCTGCTTTATATCATTGTTTTAGAATTATCCAGTCCATGTATATGTTATACTTTATATCATTGTTTCAGAAACATCCAGTCCATGTATATGCTATAATTTATATCATTGTTTTAGAATTATCCAGTCCATGTATATTCTATACTTTATATCATTGTTTCAGAAACATCCAGTCCATGTTTATGCTAAACTTTATATTAGTTTCAGAATTATCCAGTCCATGTATATGTCTTTTTATAATTGTTTCAGAAACATGCAGTCCATGTATATGTTATGTTTCATATAATTGTTTCAGATTCATCCAGTCCATGTTTATACCGTACGTCACATCATGAACCAAAACGGATTCTTGCGCGTGCTGATGCTGGCCGGCTGCATAGCCTTGACCGTCTTGCTGACCCTTCACCTTCGTCCCCACGTCATCAACTACATGGTCACGCCCACCGGAAGTCAGGCTGACGTAAGCAACATGGCGGCAAATAAAGGTGAGATCATCTCAGTTTCACGTCAAATCTCCTAATTAATGATTTGGTGTTGCAGTAGTTGTCAAGTCTCCTTGTCATTGATTACATGATTTGTGGACGTTTGTGGTTGCAACAGTTGTCAAATCGTCTAATACAGATTTTTCTCAGATAGACAGATACAACGATTGCTTTACAACTTTACAGATAAGATCATCTTATTTTCAATCTAATTAATTTTTTATAATATTTAATAAGACATTCAAAATAACACACACCATTATATATATATATATATATATATATATATATATATATATATATATATATATATATATATATATATATATATATATATATAAATACATACATATATATATACATATATATATATACATATATATATATATATATATATATATATATATATATATATATATATATATATATATATATATATATATATAAATACATACATATATATATATATATGTATATATATATATATATATATATATATATATATATATATATATATATATATATATATATATATATATATATATATATATATATATATATATATATGTATGGTACTATATATTATATGATGGGTTTCACGTTTAAGGCCTGCACAGATTAAGCCAGAGGCAACACTTATCTTAAGTTGATTGAAATATCTCAAATCCCTTCTCACAATTCGCAATAACACTTGAGTTAATTAACAGAAAGCTGAGACCTATATATACAATTACCCGCGATCAATATGAAAAACCCACAGAATTGTGAAGTATTTTTTCGAACGTAATGATGGGTCATTGTTCAGGTGAAGTAGAGTCCACAAAGTTCAATGACCTCGGCATATGGAAGTATAATGTGGTCATTTACCCAACTCAGGGACGTCGAGCCTTGATCCGAACTCGAAACTTTGGGGTCAGCGGTCCTACGCTCTATCATTCGACCACGCCCTTCTCTAACCAGCAGTTGGATATTGTTTTGCTCCTACAAGGTTGTTTTTTTTTATCTTTAACAAATAATATCCTCGCCTTGGAAAATTTAGGTCACTATGAAAACGATATAATGGCCAATATGTTAGTTACAGACCTTTGTGAAATAAAAAATATGGTATGTACTGTTTCAGAAGTTGGACAAGTTAAGGCACAAGACACGACGGGTAACCTCTTTAACCCGCTTCAACTCAAGGAGGATTTTGGTTCAGGTACATCTTACGATAGCTTCAACTATCTTTGTTATTTCTAGTAGTCGACAACTTCAAGTGAACATGAGCGGGGTGGGGAGGGCTAAACCCATATATATATATATATATATATATATATATATATATATATATATATATATATATATATATATATATATATATATATATATATATATATATATATATATATATATATATATATATATATAGTGTGTGTGTGTGTGTTTTGGGTTTAACTTTCCCTATAACCCCCCCCCCCCCCAACCCTAGACCCAGAAATGCCTCACGCAAACGTGTCAACGAGAGTTATGTTAAAACTTTTGTCATTTGTTGATTTTATGTCAGGATTCAGTTCAGCATTGAAATCATTTTTGTTTCAGCACTTCCCTTTGGACAGTTGTGTGGTTGTTGCGTGTGTGGTTTCTCGCCCTTTGCAAACTCTGTATCTGCTAGTTACCTCATACATTTTGTGTTGGCACTTCACACTCTGCCCCCACTTTTCACTCAAACGTGTCAACGACAGTAATGTTAACATTTTTGTCATTTGTTGATTTTATGTCAGGATTCAGTTCAGTATTGAAATCCATAATTTTTTTCTATCTAAAAATATTGAACTGATCCTTCAAGGCGAAGGTTTATGTTTTTTTTTTAAATCTCAGTTATTTAAAAAAAAACGTGTTGTCTGTATGATTTATCTTGAACGTGGTCTATTGTTTCTCGTCTGTTCTGGTTTGGTCCATCTGTTCTGGTTTGGTCCATCTGTTCTGATTTGGTCCATCTGTTCTGGTTTGGTCCATCACTTCTGGTTTGGTCCATCTGGTCTAGTTTGGTCCATCTGGTCTAGTTTGGTCCATCTGTTCTGGTTTGGTCCATCTGGTCTAGTTTGGTCCATCTGTTCTGGTTTGGTCCATCTGGTCTAGTTTGGTCCATCTGTTCTGGTTTGGTCCATCTGGTCTAGTTTGGTCCATCTGTTCTGGTTTGGTCCATCTGGTCTAGTTTGGTCCATCTGGTCTAGTTTGGTCCATCTGTTCTGGTTTGGTCCATCTGGTCTAGTTTGGTCCATCTGTTCTGGTTTGGTCCATCTGGTCTAGTTTGATCCATCTGTTCTGGTTTCATCTCGTCTACTTTGATCGTAAGATTCTAAATCTAAGTGAAAACAAAGATTCCACAAAAGAAGTTAGTTTTACTTTCAAAGTTTCAGTCGTTTTAAAAGGTTGTTTTTTGTTTATAATATAGGTTTGAATATTTATGTTAGTAAACAAAATGTAACCCCAACAGTGTAGAGATTTCAGCTACCACCCTGAGCTAAATGTGATGGTGTATTCGATTGGTAGAGCGCTCGACTTAATACCCGGAAGTGGCCAGGGAGAAAAGTAATCGATACTTACGGCAGTAAATGTATTGATATATAGTCCACCTATTTTCGAATGTAATCGATACTGACGGCAGTAGATGTATTGAAAAATAGTCCACTTGTTTTCGAATGTAATCGATACCGACGGCAGTAGTTGTATTGAAAAATAGTCCACCAGTTTTCGAATGTAATCGAAACTGACGTCAGTAGATGTATTGAATTATAGTCCATCTGTTTCTGTAACCTCGTAATATTACGTGGGATAGAAGTCAGTACTGCGGCCGCTCTTATTTACTTTGGAAGTGGTATCTGTCATGGACTCCGGAGAACCGAACTCGAGACTGTTGGGTTACAAGTCTTGTGCTCTACCCTACTATTGCTTGAACATTCCTGTGTATACCGAAACTAAGTAGGACTTAAGAGGTATAAGTAGTTTTTTTTCTATACAGAATCTTTTTTTTTTAATTTTCCAGGACCATTGAGCATTGTGCGTCAAAAAGGCTATGTCACAGACCTATCCAGCTTGGATCTAGACAGGTTATCCACAGATGAGCTCCTGATGACAATCCATAGTTATCCAGATAACGCAGATGTAGGTTTAAAAACTGAATTTTTTATATTTAAATCTTGACTCGGCTCCAGAGTTCGACACCTCGGTTTATTGAGGCTCGACATCTAAGAACAGCAACCCATGTAGGAGAGACAACTCCAAAATCTAAACACTGCTGCCTTGTTTACTTGTAGTTTTCTCTTGGGTGAACAAAGGCTATGGAAGCAAATCTATAAAAGCAGGCTAAAATCGGAGTGAAGTTGACTCGTAATAGTTAATTGTGTTGGAGGAAATCTTGTCCAACATTACAATTAAAACGAATACGAAGTCTACATGGCAAGAAAGGTTAAAGATGTGTGAGTGTATGTATGGCTGTGTGGGTGTCTGTGTGGGTTTCTGTGTGCGTGTCTGTGTGCATGTCTGTAGGTGTGTCTGTGTGGGTGTATATGTGGCTGTATATGTAACTGTATGTTTGGGTGTCTGTGTGCGTGTCTGTGTCGGTGTATGTATGGCTGTATGTGTGGGTGTATGTATGGCTGTATGTGTGGGTGTATGTGTGGCTGTATGTATGGCTGTATGTGTGGATGTCTGTGTGCGTGTCTGTGTGCGTGTCTGTGTCTGTGTTCTCTGGTCAGTTGTTCCTACTTGTCCAGTGTTTTGTTATTGGCAACGATCTGATATGTCAAAACAGTTTAGTCGAGAGCGAATATGTCGGTGGTCTATCGGTCTTGTGGCCGAATTCTCTGGGGAGCAAGTAACTCATCGGATATTTTGTAAGGGGTAAGGTGGAGTTTGGTGGAGTTTGTTGGAGTTTGGTAGAGTTTAGTGGAGTTTGGTGGAGTTTAGTGGAGTTTGGTAGAGTTTAGTGGAGTTTGGTGGATTTTAGTGGAGTTTGGTGGAGTTTGGTAGAGTTTTTGGTCCAGCTCTTTGCTCTCTAAGGACCAGAAATAAATGAAAGTCAAACCCCCAACATATTCTTGGAGCAACGAATTACCGAAGCACGGGATAAATTATTCACCTGCTAATCAAGCCAGCGCTTATCTAAAAGTCCAGAAAATCTGAAGGCCGAAAGGTGGAGTACAGTTACATTCAGACGTCCTCAACAAATCGATCATCTTCAACAGGGAGGGTCGGGTTGGGGCAGGGAGGGAGGGGGGTATGTAGACCGTGCTCCTTTTTTTTTTTATAGATTTACCATGCGAGTGTATCTAGCGACCTAGATACATTTTAGTGACGGGCGGGGAAAGTTTGATTAATCACGCCATTGGTGTAGGCACTGTAGGTCAAAGCGGTGAGGGGATGAAGGGGGGGAGGGGGGGTGATAGAATGAGCTCACCATGGAAATACTAAATTGCTAGTTAGCACTAGAGAATAATTTAATCAGAATAACAGAAATAACATCATTTTATTTGTGTAGAGATATATTTTACTGTATTATATTGAACTAGCTTTTGACTTTTTAATAAACCATGTTATAGCTTGCGAGTAGTAATTGTTTGGTATTATGATTCTTGTAATGGTTTTTATAGGACTAATAATAAAACAATATTTTCAATTGATTGGTAGGTAATATATTGTATTTTTAAAATATATATATACTTACTATTTTGGTTTTTAAAGGATTTTTAGAACAATGGTTATTCAGTAATTATTTTGTTGATAGAAAAAAATAATTTCATTTATTTTTCAGGTTTTATGTCGAAGAAAGATCCGTATGGGGAAGGTAGGTGACGGGGGGTGGGAGATCTGTGACGACCCAGACATCCGCCCCCGGGCACCCTGCATCATCTACTCACTCGGCATCAACTACGACTTCTCGTTTGACGACGACGCCGCCAAGCTGTACGACTGCCACGTGTACTCATTCGACCCCAGCATGGCTAAAGAAAAAGATCAATACGACAGGTACAATTGAGATCGATATGACCAATAAAAGGACTAAAAAGTCGCGGTTTCCGGTCTCGTCGGCCGGCTAATGCCGTGATCTTTTGTTTACATTCATAGAGGTTGCCGGTAACCGGTAACTATGATCAATGGCTTAGGGGGTGTGTTGGGGTGGGGGTTAGAGCCTTCTCTACCCCCCTCCACCCTCCCCTCCCTCTTACACATGAATTGGTAGTCTCACTTTTAGTTAAACTTTTTAAAATGTTTACAACAACGCTTTAAAGTGTTGTTTTCTTTATTATTTATATGATAAAGGTCTTGGTAAAATTAAAGTGTTGTGTAATAATGGTGAGAAATATAGCCACAAAATTTCTGGACATGATGCGTTGGCAGATTTAGAACACAACGATATATAAATCTAAAAAAAATGTATTTAGAAAAATCTAGTTTTAGGGAAGCGACATATAGGCAATTCATTACTTTCCCTAATTTGATTAAAGAGCACCCTTACTACACGATAACAATACTAAATAACAAATCAGTGTATAGTTGTAGTAGTTTGTTTAAATAATTCAGTGTGTTGTATCAGAAGGAAACTGTTATAAGGGAGGTCATCCTGTTAATTAAATCAAATCCCAAGATGTTACTAGATTACCTCTCTTTAAAACTACATTTCGATATTTAAATGGCCCTAAAAAATTATTTAAAGTTCTTTATTTTATTATTATATTATTATTATTATTATTATTATTATTATTATTATTATTATTATTATTATTATTATTATTATTATTATTATTATTATTATTATTATTATTATTATTATTATTATTACTATTTAATGGTTTTATTTTAAAAGACGTGTTTAAAATTAAGCTGTGTTTGCCTGTCAGTGTAAATTAATATAAACAATATTTCTTTGTAAAAATATGTATTGTGTCTAAGATATAGCGCAACTGAAAACACGAAGAAATAGTTATTGTTCCTAAAGTGAATCGGTTGTAAAATCAAGACTGTCTTTAGATTTTAGATTGCATATTTTTTATTACTTTGGTTTTGTTGTTTTGTTTTGTACTGTTGGGTTTTGTTGTGGGGTAGTGGCTGGAGGGTGGGGTAATATTATTAATTAATCACTTTTTGAGTTTCTTTTATTTATTTTTTAAATAGCAAAATAGAAAAAAAAAGATTTTTTTTCAAATCTTCTCATCCAGATCTGAAAAAGTCCATTTCTACAAGATTGGCCTGGACGGAAGCACAAACAAAAACAGCAAAAACTGGCAGCTCTACACGTTAGGTGACCTAAGGAAAAAACTAGGCCACCAAAACTCGACCATCGACGTCATCAAAATGGACATTGAGAGCTCCGAATGGGGGGCGCTGCCAGAGATGGCGTCTTCCGGCGAGCTGGCAAAAGTCCGGCAACTCCTGCTGGAGTTTCACGTGGTGAGTGCATCACGTGACTACCTTCTGCCGAGACTGAAGGCCATGCAGGCCATCGAGAGAAGTGGGCTGAGAAAGTTCTACGCGCATAAAAACCACGCATGCGTCACGACTATTCCGGGATTTCCCGTTGCACGGACGATGTGCTACGAGGTGCATTTCCTCAGGAGGTGACCAGCTACCTAGACTTTAGAATAACTGCATCAACATTCAAAAGTCTACGTGATTATTATTTTTTGTTCAAATATTGATTAAATTTCTATTTTTTTATTGTGCCTTATTGAAAGCGAGGTAAGTTTTTATAAAAACGTCAACGTAATAAATTCAATGCAATTATTTTTGCTTGTTTTCATAACCCTAAACAGAACCCTTGTGCTTACCCTAAAAAAAACCCAAGATCAAACCAAGAGTTAACCAGAATACGAACCCGGATATCAACAGAAATATTTATTGGGGTGTCTTAAAAAAAAGAAACTCAATATGACATCATTTTTATAAGAACAATGGCTTTTCAAATAGTAGATTCTAAAAAAGGGCATAGAAATGAAGGTGGTTTACAATTTCAATTTAAAAAAACTTTAAATTTCAACAAATTACCTCCAATTGAGCCTGCAGTTACATTACTCTGAGTACTCTATGGGTTAGAAATATTTTGTTAACTCTTTATCAAACACGTTTTATTTCTGTTTTAATCGTTGACTTTTAAATTATTTTTCATGTGGTGCTCTGTTATGGGTATTTTAACTTCGCTAGCTTTTTATAGTACCCGTAGATTAGCCATACCCACATATTCGTGTATTTGGTATCATCGATATCATTACACTACCAGTGATCAAAGATCCAGCTTAAATTATAACCCGACTATTCCAACAAGTGTGTATGGCAATAGTTAAACTGTTTTTTCTATAGTATTTAGAGGGCTTACATTTTTTATCATAATTCTAAAAAATTGTGATTATATATATATATATATATATATATATATATATATATATATATATATATATATATATATATATATATATATATATATATATATATAAACGTGTGGGGTGTTTGAGTGAAATTGGGGCAGATTGTGATGTAGATACAGAGTTGCTATGGCGTTTGCAAAGGGAGAGAAACCACTTAAACAACAACCACACAACAGTCCAAATGGAAGTGCTGTAATCTAAATTATTATCTGAAACTAAACGAGTGTTAAAGTTGAATCTCTATCTTTGAATGTATTCAATGCAGTAAAAAAAGTTTTTAAAAAAAAAAGAACTTACCCTTAAATTAATTTCTTGTTTTGTTTGTTTAGTATAAGAATAATTTCCCCAATCGAATACGCTTTTACCTATTGTTTTGAATTAGTATGAGCATTTCCGGTTTGATAATACAAGCTCAATACAAGCAACCATTTTGTTTTTTGTGACATGTGATAGCAGCAATCATTCCTTTTCTACGTGCTAAATTTGTGTTTATTATATCTATATAATTATTTGCATATCGTTTGTGTGTTGGTCACTTTTTAGATTACTTTATTACTGAGAGGATTTTGCTTCATGCTTCATCAGCTCATCAGGGTTCACTATGAACCACAGTATGCAACATGTACAATATTTTATGTAAAAAAAAATGTGTTATATTTATGCTATGTTGATATACAAAAGAAAATGTATAATTTTTTAAAGGGGTTTCTTTGCATTAAAACTTAAATCAAGTTTATTTTATGAAAGCATGCTGTGTAGTTGAATACGTTATTTTTTTAAAATTTTGATGAAGATGTAAAACTGCTTTTATAATTCTGGGTTGAAATAGATGTGAAATGAATTTAACAAATGATGATGTAAAAAATGTTTTTTAAAAAGCTTATATTGGTGTGAAAATGTAATTTTTGCTCATATGTTTGTGAAAACTGTTTTTTTTAAAATAATGAATAGATGTTACAACTTTAGATCTTTTTTAAAGAATAAATAATTGTAAAAAAAATTGGTTTGAAAAATAACGGTTGATACCTATTTAAATGCTTGGTTTTATAAAAGGAGTTAATTGCCTTTTTTTGTTTAACCTCTAAAGATGGTATATTGGTTTTTATTTACGAATTAAAACTAATTGCTGTGAATGTGTTAGAATCTAACACTGTACAAAAATGCAATTTCTCTTTAAAGCTGTAATATTAACATATGTTATTATTGTATTTACATTCATTTTTAAATCGTGGAATAAAATAAATGTGGTTTTATTGAAGAAACAATGTCGAAGTTTATTTTTTAATACTGAATCAAATTTACGATTTTTAGTTTCTTACCCTGACCGCTGCCTTAATGGGAGGGGAAAACCTATAATACACTATTTTTGTTTTATAGGTCTGCCAATTTTAATTATTATTTTAATTATTATTTTAATTATTATTTTAATTATTATTTTAATTATTATTTTAATTATTATTTTAATTATTATTTTAATTATTAATTTAGTATATTTACATATAGCTCGAGTCTGAAAGACACACCTGAGTTTACCCAGCTTTAATGGGTACCTGACTCACGTTAGAGAAACGAATGCGGCTGGACTTAGTACTGACATTATAACCCTGCGTACTGAAGCCATTGAAATAGACGAACTCTACTTCATCTGTCCCGTTTGTCTTTAGCACGAACGGGGGTACAGTGGTGCTGATTGTAGACCTACATTATTATATTGTATGATAAAAAAAATAAGGCTTACTCTTCAGAACTTTCAGATTGTAACATTCTCTAGGTTAAAAAAAAAATTTGCATACAATTTAATCTCATTAAATTGTTAACTTCAAGTGTTGATAACATTGTGTAAAATACAATTTTAAATATAGTGACATTGCGTTTTCATTGAAAATAGATCTTATTTTAAGTGAAAGTATGGTGTGGTCTAACGTTAGAGCGCACGACAGCGAACCCGTGAGTCTCCAGTTCGGATTCCGTGCTCAAATCCGATGGACGTGTTCACCCAGCTCTGATTAGTACCTGACTCATATTAGGGAAAGTAAAGGCGGCTGGTCATAGTGCTGACCACAGTCCCTACATATGCTGAGGTAAGAGAAACACCACAGCTTGATGCAGTATTTGTATTGGTTTCTTTAAAGAAGCCTCTACTTCGTTAACAATGTCTAGATATCTGTTTGTTTGTAGGTGGGGGAATCGGTGAATATTACCCAAATCTCGTCCCTCAATTTTTATCCAAATCCAATCCAGCAATTTACTTTTAAATTTTTTAAATAAATTCATTTATAACGCCAACACAACCATTTTATTTTTTATTTTTAGTCAAATTAAATTTTAATACAGTCATTAAAAAATTAATTTGAAGATTACTATATTTAATCACTAAAAGGGAGACAAGAAAATGAATTAGCAAGCAGCGCTGAATCTGGTGAATTATCAGCCCTGTTCACTGATTTTTTTTTTTTTTAACACGAAAACAGACTCTAAAATCGACTCAAAATTTCTGAGTGATCATCGTATAAAATATACGCAAATATCAAATAAAAATTTGTTTATTTCACCACTAGAGCAAATGTTAATCTTGCTATTCTATAGGTTTATATGAAATGAATGATTTACTTCGGCATTGTATTCGTAGGGGTATTGATATGGTGGTATTGTTTAACAAAGTATAGGACTCGTATTTATACCAGCTAATAGTTTAATACCTAATAACCATTTATTTATTGCTTAATGTAACAAACCTTTGTATTTCGAGGATTGTGTGTTGAATTACAGAGCTGATAATGGAACTTAGGTAATTCAGTCCATATATTTTTTTTTATTTCAATACATTAGGTCTGTTTAAATAAATTTCAACTTGCTGAATTAATTTAAATCATGAATTGCAAATTGTGGGACGGTGTGGTGTTTGAGTGGTAGAGCGTTCGACTGCTAACCCGAAAGTTTCGAGTTCGGATCCCGGGCTCGAGTCCACCCAGCTGTGATGGGTACCTTTGTCATGTTAGGGAAAGTAATGGCGGCATTGTGCTGACAATTTGCCCATTTCGTTTCCCGAGGTCACTGAAACAGGTGAACTCTACTTCACCTATTCCATGGACTGTAAGGTTCAAAAGAGAACTTTACTTTTTAAAATTGCTAATTAAATGCTGTTTCCATAACAACTTTCTGCCCACATAGATATTTAAGATATAATTTACACACGAAACAACACACACACACACACACACACATACACACAAAATATTCAATAAAAACGTGAGTTAATAGAATATTTTTTATTATAGACTGAGATATAGATGGTGCTATCCATACGACTTCACAGTGACCAACATGACTTGGTATACTTGGTGATGAGGCGGGAAAACAGCTTTTGAAGCTAGGCAACTGGATTAATACAATCCGCCCAAGCCGCCGTATCCACCGTATCCACCAAGACCTCCGTATCCACCGTATCCACCAAGACCGCCATAACCTCCGTATCCACCCTGGCTGCCGTATCCGCCCTGTCCTCCGGCACCAGCGGCGCTTCCGACAGCTCCGGCTCCGGCAGTGTTGGAGTTGTAGGAGAAGCCGTTCATTGAGGTGGAGCTGCCACCTTTGTTGAATCCACCCTGGCCTCCGTATCCACCCTGGCTTCCGTATCCACCTTGGCCTCCGTACCCGCCTTGGCCTCCGTATCCACCGTATCCACCGTATCCTCCTAGACCACCGTATCCACCGTATCCACCGTATCCTCCTAGACCACCGTATCCACCGTATCCTCCTAGACCACCGTACAGGCCAGGGTATCCGTAGCCGTATTGCCCTAAAGCGCAGGCAGCAAAGCAAGCAAGCAACAAGGTAACTGCAACGAATGAACCCATGCTAAACGATGTCTGGAAAGGAAAAATATGAAAAAATAATTTGATAATTTCTCAGTATATTATGTTTATAAGCCTCCTACAGGAAAGAATTAACCAATACTACATATGTAGATGGTTTATCACAGTTCACAAGGTTTTATGATTCAACTTTTCGATTGGCACGGATAAAATATGTGCCCTTTGCACATTTTATCGTCTCAGTAGCCTTATATTCCTTTTTAATTATTTTAAAAAAATCTTTAAAATAGAGCAAAGTTTTTTTCTTGAATTATTTATGTAAACTAGATAATAAATAGGAATTAAACATCATTGTTAGTTAAAGGCAATAAATTTGATTAACCGAAAATAACCTTTACGGTTATTGTTCATTTCATCTTTGAAATGTTAACTTTCATTAACTGTGGTCGATTTTTTAAAAAATTCTGAACGGACACACTTTATTTACGCTAAATATTTATTAATACAATTTTTAAACAGCAACATCACTTAGATTACATTAGTTGGTTAACATTTAAATTACATTATAAGAGGCGACTAGCGAAAAATTGTGTGAGTTTTTTATAGTGTTTAGTTACCTAAAATAATAATAACAAAAATATATCGAATTTCTATTTTTAAAAATACAGAATATACATAATAAAGTTTTTATAATCAAGTATTTTTTTAAATAATGTCACAACATTCGATAGACCAACACTTAAGATTACATTGCCGCTAGTTTAACGTTTTTCTACTTAAAATGAGCACTAAATGTTACATATTATGTCTAAGTTAAACATGCACATCACTTTTAAGTAATGACGTAAATTACCATTTAGAACAATTTATGAAAGTGTTACCCTTCTAGTTAAACTCTAATAAATTTGAATTAAGATAGTGTAAGGGCTATAGAGGCTGCTAACAATGGAAATTCACCGTATTCAATTTAACTACAGATTTATCGATTTTGTTTTCATTTGTGAAGTAAACTAATGTGGAGTTTTACCGAATTATAATTTTAAAAAAATATAATTCCCGATAACGTTTGAAGCTAAAATATTACTAAAATTAACTATTACTTAGGATTTAATTTAAATTTATATTTTTAAAAGAGCTAATGATGAATTGTTAGATAAAAAGTAAACTGCAAATAAAATGTAACATTGTCTTAAATTTTAAAAAGTTACAACTGATAATTTTTGAAGATACAAAAAAAATGTAATGAATGTAACTCAGCATACTGATGAATTTTAAAAAAAAACAACTAAAAAGGTAACTGCTGAGACATTTTACAATAAACCGGTGTACTACCAAGTAAGCCTCTACTGATGAGAAAATACCTACGATAGTATCCAAGAGTGATGAGGTGTAGTGAAGTCTTGGAGTGGACAGCTCGAGTTGCTTCCCTTCTCATTCCCCATCGCTTATATACCTGCTGAACAGGGGCCAATCGTTCACTTGCCCCCTAGCCTAGTCCGATCCATCATACTCTGTTAAGATTCTGGTTAATTCCTTCAGTCCGGCTACTGTTCACGGTGCCCGGGGGAATGACAGGTACGGAAGCGACGACTGGCGAACATTGAACCCTTAATCCAATCAGGCTTTAATTAGTTGATCGCAAGCTTCCGGTGTGATTTTGTACTTAGATTTTTTTATTGCTTGATTCTGTATTGCTAGTAATAAACCCAGTCAACGATTGCTTAAAGGACTTCTTCATTAGAGTACTTTTAATTTGTAGTATAGTCGGCTATTAAAATAAGTTTAATACTAATGAATGCCAGTTATAACTATAACCACACTTTTTTAAACCGTTTTATAAATCATATCTCTGAATCCAATAAAGAATTGTTATGCAATTTTACTAACCTATCTGCCTTTCTCCGTCGACGACCCCGTTCCCTCTAGCTTCCAATCTTTAACGAAAAAATGAGTCCTATCCGCCTCTTTTAGTACTTAAAGTTATCTCAGATACGGTACACAATACAAACATGCACCAGGGATTTCAATCCTGATTGAATGACTAAACATTCGACAGCTAATCCGGATCTGGGTTCAAGTAGAACATCTGCGGTGTACCCTGTTATTATGTAGTGGATGGATACTTCAGGGATTTTTACCCAATACCTGAGTCCACCCAGCTATGATGGGTACCTGACTCACGTTAGTGAAAGAAAAGGCGGCTGGGCACAGTTCACATGCCGTGGTTACAGAAACAAGTAAACTCTACTTCACTTATTCAATGGACCGTTAGGTTCGCAACGGAACATTACTTAATATTAAAATGAAGATGTGCGTGTACTTTTGATAACTAACTTCACACACTTTGATTTTTACAAGTTCTGTCAACTGATTGAAAATGCAAAGCGGAAATCGTTAACTAACTTGCGTTTAACAGATAAGATTGATGGCTTAGTAGGAACAGAAAAAGTACTGTCGAACTTTATAAAACGCATTGACAAAATATCAACTCCATATTATGGTATGCTGATAAATGCGGAAATTGACGGAAAATTCACTTCATGACAAATTAAGAAAACTGGTTAAGTGTCAACATCAATACTAAGAACAAGAAGCTGCATAATTGTGAAATAATTTAAATATATGGACGCTATATCGCAGACGATGAATCGAAACCTAAACTGCGCACCCCAGCTGCGCAGGCCAGATGGGCACTAAAAAGGCTTAAAATCTGAAGCACAAAGAAACAGAAGATCACTCCGATGCATTCAATTGTCATGGCCATACTTCTGTAAGCATTCGATTCTCGGGCTCTGGGATGTGAATTAGAAAATAAAATCCAAGCTATGGGAATGAGATGGTAGATGAAGTTACAGAGAATATCAGAAAAAGAACTCATTTTAGAAGACGAAGTACGTCATGTCACATGTACCCTGTTGACGATAGTTTTAAAAAAATGAAAAAAATGGTGCGAACATATTTTGATGACGTCAGGCCTAAAACTTCTTTACAAGTAAAAGTGGTAGGAAAACAGAACACACGCAGGTAGAAGAAAGGATGGGAAGACAACATCAAGGGAAAGATCGGGTTCGGTACTGGGAGAGACAGTGAGGATGACTGAAGACAGTGGAATAGAGGAACACGATCAGAAGGAATATATTAGCTTCAACAGTTTGTTGGTATTGGTATTGTAAAGTCTTTTGATTGCAAAGGGATTGACACAAAGGTCAATATTTTAAATGTTATTTGACGGTTCAGTATCTCAAAGTTGACATTTTTAAGGAATGATTTCATCGCTACTGTCTAGTACACAGCCTTTATTTTATGTATTTAAAGATCCATTTATTGTTTTTACTAAAATACTAGATAGATGTGTATTACAATTAACTAAAACAACGCACTTTGTTTTTCCACCAAAAAATACATGAGTCGCAAGTACATTCGAAAAACAGTAAAGCTCCATGCACATGTTGTTCAGATGGTATCGAAAGAAGAAAGTTTGAGGTGTGTAGCAGACAGTCATGGACCAAATCTGCACTGCAAAGCTTTGTGGCTAAGCATGAAACTAAGCAAGTGGACAAAGTTCCGACTGGACCCAACTATCAACGCTGCAACTAGAATCAGATCTAGCTTTGTATGTGACCAATATTGTATGTGACTATATTTTACAGTAACAGCCGAAACTCCAAGAAGCCTAGCATGCCTGATGACAAAAAATTCCCCCTGGCATAGGAAACAAAAAGGCTGGAATATAATGGCTTGGAGAATTTAGGGAACGGAATTGTTTTGTCATTGCGTCAACCTGATTCAACTTTAGGTGGCAACCAGAACAGTTTTTATCAGATCGACCAAAAGACAAAATGCAACTACGCGTAACAGTCAAGATGAAACAGGCCTGACAACTGTGTATCAGTCTCTTGCAGTTTCTGCCCAGAAATGGGCAAAACAAGTGGGGAAAGCTGAATAACTGGAAAGGAAAAAAACTCTTTGCGGCAGTTACTGCGGCAGGGACTTGCCTACCAGTCATCTTCCCTTGCCTGTCCCACTTCTCACTACCTCTGTTCCACAGGTTCATATCTTAAATAGATTTTCCCCGCTTAGCGCACCCATTTATGATTGATATAATGCAAATGTAATTAACTTTTTCAAACCCACTCCAGTATCGACTCCCTGTACATTTTTAACATAGAAAACATGTAATAGCCCTGGGATAAAGAGGCCCTTGTCGTAAAGCTATTCCTGAAACTGGAGAATACGAAACAACTGCTCGATACTTCATTAGACGAACAACATATATAATGAAAATTTTCTTCTGAGCCACTTCGTGATGTAGGCCTAGTTGCCGGTACAAAACTATCTAATTAGTTGAGTCTGAACAAAATTAATTAGGCTAATTAGTTGAGTTTAAACAAAACAAAATTAATTAATTGAATCTGAATAAAAATAAATTAGCCTGGCTAATTAGTTGAGAATTTATTTATAATTTAATTCTTACTTTAAACGTTTATGAGATGATGGCACGCTGTAAAAAGTAACGTGCGAATATTACGTTAAAGTGCGAATACTACATTATAAAGCAAATGATTTAAGGTATATTTGGAGGCTAACATTTAAACGAATGTGAACGGCTTTTTGCATCTAATTCATGTGTAATGTGTATCTATGGTTTCCAAAAGAAATATATTAAAAATTACATTTTTTTTAAAACTAACAGTAATGTATTTATTTTCATTCGCGTGGTTCGTTGTCAAGTCTAATTAGATTTTAAATCTATAGATGATCTTTTTTAATTAATTACAAATTGTGCTTGAGGAGGAGACCAATCGAAATTAGACTATGTAGTAATTAATCAAAAAGTTTCAGGAAGGTAAGTCCAACATTTCCTAAACAAAATTTTTTGTTTTATTTAAAACATCTCCAGGGCATATTTGGAGATACCTTTTTAGCTTGTGTTGCTTTCTTAAGCCATGGCGCCAGTTGCAATCACAACCTAATCTAGACACCCCCACCCCCCCCCCCCCTCCCTTCCATGACCCTAGCGTTGGCTTCAGATAACTTTTTTTTTTAAATACTACACTTTCTGATTGATTCCCCCCTAAATGAAACACTGAAATATGTATTAAAGTATGTATTTAAGATTTAGTTTTCCCACTAACTATATATATATATATATATATATATATATATATATATATATATATATATATATATATATATATATATATATATATATAAATATATATATATATATATAAACGTAACACCTTTTCTAATCAAGCAGTTTTTTGTGTAATTTGGTTGTATAAAATCCCATTCATTTACACTAAAAAGTATTTTAATGAATTAAGTTACAAATTTGGAAATGATTTCATCACCCTCTGCAATCGACGTGTCAATGAGTAAAGTACAAAACTGAATCCACCTTGTTGCAGGGCTATCTAATGCGTTACCTGCGGCCTACCTGTACGGCCAAGTCGTTAGGGATTTACAGAACTAAGAGATTTCGTTTGATGACGACTCTGTTAAGGTATAATACTGTCGTGTGCGTACGTTTGATCCTACATTTTAAAAGAAATATTTTATGCTTTTAAAATTGTTCCAAACTTGTTTTTAGTTAATTTAATTTTTTAAATTTCAGTTTTCCACTCTGTTAAGTGGAAGGTTAACCCCCCCCTCCCCCCCCCCCCATACTCATTTAAATCAGAAACTTTAAATTTCTCAACAATTATCGATTTTAAAACTGTATTCAATTCTGAGCATTTTTTGTATATTTATTTTGGCTTGATTAAATGTTGGTAGTATTTTTAATATTTTTTTAATTAAGGTATAATACTGTCGTGTATGCACGTTTGATTCTAAATTGTAAAAGCTATAGTTTATTATTTTAGAATTGTTCAATACTTTCTTTATAATTAGAATATGGGAATTTCAATGTTATCATTCTTTTTGTTTAAAAATTTGAATAATCGTTTTAAAATTTAGTATTTTTTTCAACTGCAACAAAATGTAGATGTTATATTTAAAACTTATGAGGAAAACTCTCAAACAATGACAAAATGATGACAGGATTTTGCCTAATTGAACAATTAAACAAACTCAAACTAAACCCCAAACAATTTTATAAATTTTTTTTTCTTTGATTTGTTTTTGCTCCAAGCCATTTGTCATGAAAGGCGGAAGTGTCAAGTCGACAACTTCCGTTTTTCAATGGGCCAAACCGAGAACAGTTTTGAAATTGTTCTAAATGCCCATTAAATGTTTTAGAAATCATGTATGATGTTATTAAAATAAATATGGTTATAACAATCTGACAGTTTGATTTTTGTTGGATTTAACTAAAGATTACATTATTTAATGTTTTAGTATTTTCAGTAACTAAACCATTTTTTAAGCCGGAAACAATTTGGTTGTTTAAATTTTATCACAGAACATGTAAATAAATATCGCATAACTAGGCCATTAAAAAATAATTATTTGG